CTATAGTCTAGTCTATAGTCTAGTCTATAGTCTAGTCTAGTCTAGTCTATAGTCTAGTCTATAGTCTAGTCTATAGTCTAGTCTATAGTCTAGTCTATAGTCTAGTCTATAGTATAGTCTAGTCTAGTCTATAGTCTAGTCTATAGTCTAGTCTATAGTCTAGTCTATAGTCTAGTCTATAGTCTAGTCTATAGTCTAGTCTATAGTCTAGTCTATAGTCTAGTCTAGTAAATAGTCTAGTCTATAGTCTAGTCTAGTCTATAGTCTAGTCTAGTCTATAGTCTAGTCTATAGTCTAGTCTATAGTCTAGTCTAGTAAATAGTCTAGTCTATAGTCTAGTCTAGTCTATAGTCTAGTCTAGTCTATAGTCTAGTCTATAGTCTAGTCTATAGTCTAGTCTATAGTCTAGTCTATAGTCTAGTCTATAGTCTAGTCTATAGTCTAGTCTATAGTCTAGTCTATAGTCTAGTCTATAGTCTAGTCTATAGTCTAGTCTATAGTCTAGTCTATAGTCTAGTCTATAGTCTAGTCTATAGTCTAGTCTATAGTCTAGTCTATAGTCTAGTCTATAGTCTAGTCTATAGTCTAGTCTATAGTCTAGTCTATAGTCTAGTCTATAGTCTAGTCTATAGTCTAGTCTATAGTCTAGTCTATAGTCTAGTCTATAGTCTAGTCTATAGTCTAGTCTATAGTCTAGTCTATAGTCTAGTCTATAGTCTAGTCTATAGTCTAGTCTATAGTCTAGTCTATAGTCTAGTCTATAGTCTAGTCTATAGTCTAGTCTATAGTCTAGTCTATAGTCTAGTCTATAGTCTAGTCTATAGTCTAGTCTAGTCTAGTCTATAGTCTAGTCTATAGTCTAGTCTATAGTCTAGTCTATAGTCTAGTCTATAGTCTAGTCTAGTCTATAGTCTAGTCTATAGTCTAGTCTAGTCTATAGTCTAGTCTATAGTCTAGTCTATAGTCTAGTCTAGTCTATAGTCTAGTCTATAGTCTAGTCTATAGTCTAGTCTATAGTCTAGTCTATAGTCTAGTCTGTAGTCTAGTCTATAGTCTAGTCTATAGTCTAGTCTATAGTCTAGTCTATAGTCTAGTCTATAGTCTAGTCTATAGTCTAGTCTATAGTCTAGTCTATAGTCTAGTCTATAGTCTAGTCTATAGTCTAGTCTATAGTCTAGTCTATAGTCTAGTCTATAGTCTAGTCTATAGTCTAGTCTATAGTCTAGTCTATAGTCTAGTCCATAGTCTAGTCTATAGTCTAGTCTCTAGTCTAGTCTATAGTCTAGTCTAGTCTATAGTCTAGTCTATAGTCTAGTCTGTAGTCTATTCTATAGTCTAGTCTGTAGTCTAGTCTATAGTCTAGTCTATAGTCTAGTCTATAGTCTAGTCTATAGTCTAGTCTATAGTCTAGTCTATAGTCTAGTCTATAGTCTAGTCTAGTCTATAGTCTAGTCTATAGTCTAGTCTATATTCTAGTCTATAGTCTAGTCTATAGTCTAGTCTATATTCTAGTCTATAGTCTAGTCTATAGTCTAGTCTATAGTCTAGTCTATAGTCTAGTCTATAGTCTAGTCTATAGTCTAGTCTATAGTCTAGTCTATAGTCTAGTCTATAGTCTAGTCTATAGTCTAGTCTATAGTCTAGTCTATAGTCTAGTCTATAGTCTAGTCTATAGTCTAGTCTATAGTCTAGTCTATAGTCTAGTCTATAGTCTAGTCTATAGTCTAGTCTATAGTCTAGTCTATAGTCTAGTCTATAGTCTAGTCTATAGTCTAGTCTATAGTCTAGTCTATAGTCTAGTCTATAGTCTAGTATATAGTCTAGTCTATAGTCTAGTCTATAGTCTAGTCTATAGTCTAGTCTATAGTCTAGTCTATAGTCTAGTCTATAGTCTAGTCTATAGTCTAGTCTATAGTCTAGTCTATAGTCTAGTCTATAGTCTAGTCTATAGTCTAGTCTATAGTCTAGTCTAGTCTAGTCTATAGTCTAGTCCATAGTCTAGTCTATAGTCTAGTCTCTAGTCTAGTCTATAGTCTAGTCTAGTCTATAGTCTGGTCTATAGTCTAGTCTAGTATAGTCTATAGTCTAGTCTGTAGTCTAGTCTATAGTCTAGTCTATAGTCTAGTCTATAGTCTAGTCTAGTCTATAGTCTGGTCTATAGTCTAGTCTATAGTCTAGTCTATAGTCTAGTCTATAGTCTAGTCTATAGTCTAGTCTATAGTCTAGTCTATAGTCTAGTCTATAGTCTAGTCTATAGTCTAGTCTATAGTCTAGTCTATATTCTAGTCTATAGTCTAGTCTATAGTCTAGTCTATATTCTAGTCTATAGTCTAGTCTATAGTCTAGTCTATAGTCTAGTCTATAGTCTAGTCTATAGTCTAGTCTATAGTCTAGTCTATAGTCTAGTCTATAGTCTAGTCTATAGTCTAGTCTATAGTCTAGTCTATAGTCTAGTCTATAGTCTAGTCTATAGTCTAGTCTATAGTCTAGTCTATAGTCTAGTCTATAGTCTAGTCTATAGTCTAGTCTATAGTCTAGTCTATAGTCTAGTCTATAGTCTAGTCTATAGTCTAGTCTATAGTCTAGTCTATAGTCTAGTCTATAGTCTAGTCTATAGTCTAGTATATAGTCTAGTCTATAGTCTAGTCTATAGTCTAGTCTATAGTCTAGTCTATAGTCTAGTCTATAGTCTAGTCTATAGTCTAGTCTATAGTCTAGTCTATAGTCTAGTCTATAGTCTAGTCTATAGTCTAGTCTATAGTCTAGTCTATAGTCTAGTCTATAGTCTAGTCCATAGTCTAGTCTATAGTCTAGTCTCTAGTCTAGTCTATAGTCTAGTCTAGTCTATAGTCTGGTCTATAGTCTAGTCTATAGTCTAGTCTATAGTCTAGTCTGTAGTCTAGTCTATAGTCTAGTCTATAGTATAGTCTATAGTCTAGTCTATAGTCTGGTCTATAGTCTAGTCTATAGTCTAGTCTATAGTCTAGTCTATAGTCTAGTCTATAGTCTAGTCTATAGTCTAGTCTATAGTCTAGTCTATAGTCTAGTCTATAGTCTAGTCTATAGTCTAGTCTGTAGTCTAGTCTAGTCTATAGTCTAGTCTATAGTCTAGTCTATAGTCTAGTCTATAGTCTAGTCTATAGTCTAGTCCATAGTCTAGTCTATAGTCTAGTTTATAGTCTAGTCTATAGTATAGTCCGTAGTCTAGTCTATAGTCTAGTCCATAGTCTAGTCTATAGTCTAGTCCATAGTCTAGTCTATAGTCTAGTCTATAGTCTAGTCTATAGTCTAGTCTATAGTCTAGTCTATAGTCTAGTCTATAGTATAGTCTATAGCATAGTCTATAGTCTAGTCTATAGTCTAGTCTATAATCTAGTCTATAGTCTAGTCTATAGTCTAATCTATAGTCTAGTCTATAGTCTAGTCTATAGTCTAGTCTATAGTCTATAGTCTAGTCTATAGTCTAGTCTATAATTCAGTCTATAGTCTAGTCTATAATCTAGTCTATAGTCTAGTCTATAGTCTAATCTATAGTCTAGTCTATAGTCTAGTCTATAGTCTAGTCTATAGTCTAGTATATATTCTAGTCTATAGTCTAGTCTATAGTCTAGTCTATAGTCTAGTCTATAGTCTAGTCTATAGTCTAGTCTATAGTCTAGTCTATAGTCTTGTCTATAGTGTAGTCTAGTCTAGTCTATAGTCTACTCTGTACTCTTGTGTGTAGTCTTCTGTATAGTCTAGTCTATGTTTAGTGTATAGTCTAGTCTATGGTCTAGTCTATAGTTTAGTCTATAGTATAGTTTATATTGTAGTCTATATTCTAGTCTATAGTCTAGACTATATAGTTTATAGTTTAGTCTAGTCTATAGTCAATTCTACGTTCTGGGCAATAGTATAGTTTTTAGTCTAGTCGATATTCTAGTCTATAGTGTAGTCTTTAGCCTACTCTATAATCTAGTCTATGGGCTATTCTTTAGTCTCGTCTATAATAGTCTGTTGTCTAACTTATAGGCGAGCCTATACTCTATTTTATAGTCCATAGTCTACCTGCTTGAGGATTAAAACTTTATATGACTAATATGTTTTTGGTTTTCTGGAGTATAAAGATTTGTTTTTCATTAATTTTGTAACCCACTGTATTTGGTTAATTTGGCTTTAAAATTTATTTTACTTTGAAAATAAGTGTAGTAAAGTTTTATTTTTGTATGTAATAAATTTTATTTTTATTATACTGTGTATGTATTGTATATAAATTTGGTTGGTTTTGGTTTTTGCCACTTCATCATATTTTGAGTTATTAAGATTTCTGTTCCGTTTTTACGTCTTCGGTCTGGAATAGTTAGTTATCTTAAATGTTTTCGTGGAAATGAATAACAAATAAAGAGCTATAAATGAAATATCGTAAATATTTATAAAGTACATATATATACGCTTGTAATTTTACTCGACTTTCTTTAAGATATACATATTAATATATATGTACATTAGGGCACTTTTATTTTTTCATTTATTTTTCCAATATCGACGAGTAAGAAAGCTATTACTAAGACCAATATTTGGAACCGTTACAAACATAAGTACTAACTCACAATGGTTTTGTAGGGTATAAATAGTTAACAATCTTGACTTTGCTTTCGTATTATACGGTTGCCTTTACTATTGTTACGGACAATATTACAATTCCCCAAATTATTTAAAACATAAAAAAAACAACAAAAAGTGCAAGTGCATTCTTCTTAGTAATAACAAAATAAGTACAAATAAAAATTGCATTCTTTTGTACAATAACAAAACAATCGTAAATCTGAAAGTACATTCTTGTGTACAATAACAAAACACCTAAGTAAAAATAAACAATACTTAAAAAACTCTAAAAACAACAACAAAATACAATAACATAAATAATATTATTATTTATTAATCGTTTACCAATTATATTAAAAACAAATAAGCAAAAGCCAATAAGTAACTTCTTTTTATATTAACTAAAACTAAGAACAATGAATAAACCGCCTAATATTACAAACCAAACAATGTTTGATCTCGACAATAATAAACATATGAATGACTTATCCCTCGGTCCAAAATATCTAGTTATGACTAGAGTACAAAGCGATGACACCTTGACAAACGTTTCTCCTTTTCTTATAAAAAAAGTAATTGATTGTGTTTGTGGAGAAGTTGAAACCTGCAAAAAACTACAAGCTGGAACTATTCTAATTAAAACCAAAAACTCTGTGCAAGCTAACAAATTAATCAAATTAATATCACTCAGCCCTACTATCAAAATTGAAATATCAGAACATAAAACTTTAAATACTACGAAAGGTGTTATATATTGTAATGACCTCAGAAATATAGAAGAAAATGAAATTTTACAAGAATTAAAAAATCAAAATGTTATAGAAGTCAAAAAAATTCTGAAAAAGGTAGATGATAAATTGGTTGAAACTGGTCTTTTAATAATTACTTTCTCATCAATCAATCTACCGGAAACTATTAATATTGGTTATCAAATTACTAGAGTTAGACCCTATATACCATTACCACTAAAATGTCACAACTGTTTCCGCTTCGGCCATATTTCTAAATTTTGCAAAAACGATAAACTATGCGTCAACTGTGGAAACATCGATCACTTAGCAGAAAATGAAGTTTGTGAAAATCCTAAATTGTGTAATAATTGTGTAGAAAATAAACTCACCGACACTAAACATTCTGTAGTAAGCAAGACATGTCCAATTTTTTTAAAATATAAAGAAATTCAAGCCATCAAAACTTTAGAAAAAGTCGATAACAAAACTGCAATGCAAAAATACAACGAGAGACATATTAACAAATCGACTTTTGCTACAGTTACTAGACAACATGTTGACTACTCCAATATCGATAACACAATTATCACTCCATCTACCTCTAATTCCATTAAAACTTCGCCAACACCTATTCAAAACATACAACCGAAAACTTTTACTGCCAACGTAAAGCAAACCACAAGTTCAATCGACACAATTCAAACCAAAACTATGTCACCACCCAAAAAAAATCAAACTATCAAAATTTTACCAAAAACAACATCCCGACGTACTAGAAGTCAACTTAAGAACGAGGCCAAACGGGTAAAAACATCACAAGGAAGTCAGGATAGCGATGGAACGGATCAAAACACGGCGGAAGAATAATTAAAAAATTATATATTCGTTGATTACTGGGGCGGTCTGATGACTGGGCTTACTTCCGGTTTCGTGACTTATGTCTAGAAGCCGGTATTGGGCTTTGTCGTTGGACTGCCCCATTGTAATCAACAAATTTTTAACAAAATTATATAACAACTACTATCTATAAATCGTAGTTCTATTATACTAACACTATTAAACAAAATATACCTGTAATCCTTTTTTTTTTTTTTTTTTAAACAATATAATGTCTCTTACAATATTACAATGGAACATTAGAGGTTACAGTAACAACTATAACGAACTACTTACTCTTATAAAAAAATACAAACCTAAAATAATTTCCATACAAGAAACTCATATTAACAGTATTGTCAATATTCCTATTCCAATATCTTATAAGTTATATCATTCCCCATTCAGACATAACATACCCCACAACTATGGTGGTTCTGCCATTCTGATACACGCTTCCATTCACCATGAAAAACTAAATTCTCAAAGTAATTTTGATTCAATAGGCGTACTAATACATTCTAAAAAATCGTTTGTCGTTTTTTCTACTTATATACCTCCATCTAGAACTTTCAATTTAAATGACCTTACCTTACTATATTCAACCAATCACCCTGTCATCATAACCGGCGACTTTAATAGTTGGCACAGTAGTTGGGGATCTAGCATTAATAATAAAAAGGGAAAAATTCTATCCAAATTCATAACCCAATCCAGACTAAGCATTTTAAACAACGGTTCGCCTACTCATTTCTCAACCCACAAAACATTTACACATATTGACCTTACAATTGTCTCCTCATCTCTTCTTATTTACCTAGAGTGGAAAGTAGATTCAGATCTATCGGGTAGCGATCACTATCCAATAATATCTTCCATTTTTTCAAGTGATCTATATGACCACAAACAAAAAATAAGACCTCTCTTCAATTTAAATAAAGCTAATTGGAATGAATACTCCACACAAGCTAGGACTTTGAGTACACTGAGACCGATCAGTAGTAATATTAATAAGGAAGCAGCCAATATAAATAAAATTATTTTACAAAGCGCTAACTATTGTATTCCTCAAAGTAAACCCATAAAGAATGAACTTTCGGTCCCTTGGTGGTCAAAAAAACTCGAGGAACTAAAGATCAACCGGAATCACCTATGGAATAAATTCAAGAGGAACATGTCTACCATCAATGAATTAAACTTTAGAAGAGCTAATGCTATTTTTAAAAGAGAAGTAAAGATCTCTAAAAGAAAATCCCTATCTATTTTTACTTCTGAAATCAATCATTCAACACCACCAACGAAAATTTGGGCTAATATACGCAGACTTTGTGGCTTGAAAACGACAACATATATTCACTGTATTGAAGACCCTAATGATTCTAATAACAGGTACTCTAACAGTGCGATTATTGCAAATACCTTTTGCGAATACTGGTCCAATGAATCTAATGATTCCAACTTTTCTTTTCAATTTCAACAAAGAAAACAAAACATACTCTCTAACCAGAAAACTCTTATACCGGGAAGAAATGCTGCATCCATAGAAAACAAAATAACCCTATCCGAACTTCTTATAGCCCTAAACAAACTAAAAGGCAAGACACCAGGCATTGATCGCATATCGTACCCTATGATCAAAAACTTGCATATAGATGTTCTTAAAAGACTGATTACTTTCTATAATGCCATAATGGATAATTACGTTCCGCAAATATATAAAAACAGTCTAATAATTCCCATACTAAAACCTGAAGGTAACAAAATTAGTATATCTTCCTATCGACCTATTTCACTAAACCCATGTTGCTCTAAAGTTCTGGATAAAGTTATAGCAAATAGGCTTTGGTGGTTTGTGACAACAAACAACCTACTAAATAGCCATCAGTACGGTTTTATTAAAGGAAAATCAATAGCAGACCCTTTGATTTATATCGACTTTTTAATAAACCAATCATTAAGATCGAAAAATCACATATCTTTAATATCACTCGATTTTGCTAAAGCATTTGATAAGATCGGCTTGCACACAATTTTGGATCAGTTGGAGGATTGGGAAATTGGACCTAAAATATATAACTATATAAAAAATTATTTAACTAACAGAAAAATTGTAGTCAGAAACAATAATCAATTTTCCAGACATCAACCCCTTTCGAACGGAATCCCTCAAGGATCTCCGCTATCCGTAATACTGTTCTTAATTGCTTATAATAAACTAACCCATATTATTTCATTGCACAAAGAACTCGACTTTATAGCATATGCCGATGATTTTGTAATAATCAAGAAGCTTGGTAACAAAAAGAATATTAATATTAACTTAAATAATCTTATACAAGATATCTCAAACTGGTCTACCACTTCGGGAGCACAATTATCGCTACATAAATGCAAACATATGCATATATGTAGAAAGCATAATTGCAACCCCACTTTACACGTTAACAACAATACCTTTAACACCGTTAACAACCTTAAAATTTTAGGAATTTTTTTTAACAATAAATATCGTTGGAATACACACATTCTCAATATAATCAAATGTCTCTCTTCTAGAAATTTCTCATGTAACACCTCTTCACTTATTGGCGTCCTAAAGTCGATTATAATACATAAAATAAATTATGGAATATACCTTTATGGCTTCTCCCCTAAGAGTATTCTAAACAAAATAAAAACCGTTTTTAATTCGGCGATACGTCTGTCATTAGGAGCATACAGGACAACACCGATTAACAACCTTATATTTGAAGCAGATGTTATGACAATAGAACAATCTAGAGACTTTATTACCGCGAAATTATTTAAATCTATACTTTTAAAGGATCGTTTTCCAGTTTCAAAAATTCTAAATACATCGCTGCATAGAAAATATTTTACAAAAACTAACTCACTATTATCAAGAATAACCCATTTTTGTACAAAGTTCGAAATTCCTTTTAATAACAAGCAAACAATTCTTAATAAATTCCCAAACTCTTTCTTTGACAATAAATCAATAGACTATTCGATGCACCAATTAAGAAAATCAGATACTAATTCAATAATATACCAGAAAAAATTTCTTGAAATTCAAAATAGTCTACCAAATCATAAATTTATTTTTACCGATGGTTCTAAAAGCGAACATGGTGTCAGCTTTAGCATTACTGAAGTAGAAAGAACACTGACTGCCTCAATTCTTCCTGAATATAGTTCAATCTTCTCAGCGGAACTTATTGCGATCTACGAAGCAATTAAAAAATGTACAAACTCACCAGGCAACTTTGCAATATGTACAGACTCATTATCAGCTATTGGCTCATTATTGAACTTAAATAACAACAACTATTATACCAACCTAATAAGACAAATAATCATTGAGAAACACTCCAATATTAAAATAATTTGGATTCCGGGTCACACAGGAATTAAGGGCAACGAAATAGCTGACAGAATTGCTAAGGATGCTTTATCCGCTCCTCTAATTACCACACCAAATTACTCTCAAAGCGATATAAAAAATTACCTTAAACAGAAGTTTTACGACCTTAAATCCAACAATTGGGATATTTGCACCCCATGGTATAGGAATATTAATCCTGAAAAACATAATGCCTACCAACTTTTCAAACATAACAACACCCTAACAAGAAAAGAACAAATAATAATAACTAGGCTAAGACTGGGACATACGCGAATTACCCATTCACACTTAATTAATAAAAACCTTACTAAAAACTGTCCTTTCTGTAACCATAATCCTATAAGCATTGTCCACCTTTTTGAAAACTGTCCTCATATAAATAAATTTAAAAATTCATTACTAAAAAATAAAAATTTCTTCCAATTTATTAACACTACTATGACATCTACAGATATTGCTCTAATAGTTGAATTTCTGAACAAGACTAATCTTTATAATATTATATAACTATAAATGTTTATATTATACTAACTTTGTACAGCTTAAGGCCACCGTTGCCAAAGCTTTCTATTATTATATTTATAATTTAGTTATAAGTGTAATATGTAAATAAATAAATAAATAAATAAATAAATAAATAGTTAAACTTAACAGTTTAACTCAAACGTTACATTTAACAAAACTTTAAAATCAAAAAAATTTTGTAAATGCACACCACCCTAATATAAAGCTCTTACTTTATTACACTTACATATGTTTAATTAAACTTTAATTAAAATGTTTCCCTTAAAGAACTGTTTCCGAAAAATTTCAATGTAAACATTAAAATAATTTTACAGTTTAAATTGTTTACATTAAACAATAATTTAAAACGCAATTTATTTACTAGAATTACTTAAAATATATCAGCAAACTTTTAATAAAACAACTCTCATAGTCGATCACCCTACTAGGGTACATAAACTTATTATACGCAAACATTTTTGTAAGGAAAACGGAAAAGGAAATAAACATTTTATTTATGTATCTTGGGCTGTTGGTATATTAAAAGGTAAATGATGAACTTTTCCACAGATACATAAATTCATATATATGTATGTTGTAAGAGTCTTTTACAATGGAAATTTTTATGATATAAATAAATTTATATCAAAATGCTCAATAAGTACTTGTTTCTTTAAGAATTTTACGCGCTTTAATAACAAGAGTAAATGAAGGAATAACAGCAATATTTCACATTTATTTTAAGAGTGTTCTAACTTAACTAGATTATAGAATAGACTGCAGACTAGACTACAGACTTGACTACAGACTAGACTATAGACTAGACTAGACTAGACTAGACTAGACTATAGACTAGACTAGACTATAGACTAGACTATAGACTAGACTATAGACTAGACTATAGACTAGACTAGACTATAGACTAGACTAGACTATAGACTAGACTAGACTATAGACTAGACTAGACTAGACTATAGACTAGACTATAGACTAGACTATAGACTAGACTATAGACTAGACTATAGACTAGACTATAGACTAGACTATAGACTGGACTATAGACTAGACTATAGACTAGACT